GGAGAGGGAGAGAGGGAGAGAGAGAGAGAGGGAGAGGGAGAGAGGGAGAGAGAGGGAGAGAAAGAGAGGGATGCAACAATAGGAGAAACTGGGGATCCCATGGCACACCCATGTTTCTGCCTATAATATTGCCCCCCGTACGTGAAGTAGGTTGATTCCAGKYDCAGTTTGAGGAGTTGGCACACTTGTTCTGTGGAAAGTGTGGTTCTGCTGCTGAGAGTCGTGTCTGATTTTAATCTCGCACAGACCACATCCACTGCCTTATCAACATGGATGTGGTTTTAATATGTAATTATTAACAAATATGTTGACATGTTTAATGTTCTATTATGTTCTCTTGCAATGGGATTAAGTCATGGAATAAAAAGTAAGACACACTGAGGTTGGTTCTCCCTGAAATTAAAGGAATCTTTTAAAAAAAACGACAGAAGGTTTTTACCTGTTTTAGACAGGACGCCGTTCCCTTTGGCCACTCCAACATAAACCAGGACGGAGACTACATCTGAGACTTCCATGTGAAGGTTGGCAGTCCCAAAGTTCTGATCCTGACATGCAGCTACGCCTACAGAGGAGAACACAGAGATAATAGAAACCACATCTACAGAAAAATCATGTCAGATAAAGAAACATAACAGAAAATGTCCAAATTCACATCAAGCTACTCAGATAACCTGCATGCTGTGCCTCTGCCTTCTACTATCCACTGCCATTGGCAAAGGAGAGACAGTGTTTTTGCTTTCAGTGAACGTTTGTCAGGTTAGCAAAGCAAAATACCTCAAGTGGACAGATTTTAACCAAACTCTCAGAAGGGGAATCACTAGACAGAGCTCTACAGCTACATTACTTTTAATATCAGTTCAGTTCAAAGTCGCTGCTAGCCTGGTCCTTGCCTTCCTACACAGCTCCGCTCAGTTCTAGTTTCCCTTTGCTCCGTCTGGGACTTCTCCCATAGACAAGGATTTCACTGGCAGATTTTTAGCCGGGCCAATCAGAGAACAGAACGTTAATTTTCTGCGCAGTGTCTGCTTGTAGTTTATTTTACCTGGACCAATCAGAGAACAGAAGGAGGAGTTTTGAATAACGTCGATGTTCTGCGCAGTGTCTGCTAGTTATTTTAGCATACGGCAGTGGAGGAAGTGAATGAAGCCAGTCTGTGTTGATAAGAATAAAAATAACTTTCTTTGAAGCGCCAACTTTACAGGGATAAAAAGTTGTAAAACATCCATAACAGTCCCACCGAGCAGTGAGAATTGTTGTTAAGGGTTTTCACTATTATTCAATCTTAACATTGTGTATTTTTCTTGTTTCAGGAAAAGTGTTTTGAGTTAATCATTCACTAAGGGTTTAACTAGAAATAAAGTAAATTTAAAACTCTAAGAGTTAAGCATAACGTTATTTTAAATCAATAATAACATAAATCTAAAACTCTAAAGGTTAAATAAATAATGATAACATAAAGTTAAAATTTTAAAAGTTACATATTCAAAACTACAAAAGTTAAGCGTTATTTTAAATAAATAGAAACAAATCAGGCCTAAAATAGAAACAGTCTCAATATGAGACCGTTTGGAAAACTTGAGGCGAACAGCACGTCTCTCCCTATAATGAAGGGAAGTTGGAAGTGGGTGATGATTGCAGGATTAATTTTAGTAGGGATTGTGGGAATAATTTACTTGTGTGAATTTTTTGGTGTCTTTCCAGATAATAAGACATGTGGTTCCACTGACACCTCCGGYCATCCATTCCCTTCAGATAAGACAACACCTTTCCGATCAAAACGCGGAATAGATACCAAACGTAGTGATGGGCCAGGAAAACACAGAAAAAACCTTAAAGAGTACATAGAATTAGATATGAAAAAAGGGGTCTCCCTTGAGCTTCGTCAAGGGAGCACAACAACATTCCATTTTGATCTCTGCGATGTAATTGATTGTCGAGGGAAAGACTGGTCCTTTAGAGAATATAATCTTTACTTATGTGTAGATCCAGTGTTACGAGCAGGAGCATATCCCTTAGGCCCCTCCCAGGTTTCTTTACCCCCATTCGTTCAAGGTGAGGGAGGACCCAGACTCGCTTTACATCAATTCACTCGGGGCGATGAAGGCTATAAGCTCGTTCGGACGCCTTCCTGTAAGTGGGAGCACACTAATTACTACACTGGGTCTTGGATTCCCACAGCAGAGGGACTCCAGGAGCCAGTGAGAGAGTGGTGGAAAAACGTTACCTTTCAGAGAGTTTATTCCCCCCATAGAAATTTAATATCGGTTTCATTTGAGGGACAGTGGGGACCACCGCTGCATGATTTTAAGGAGCAGAACTCAACTTATTACTCTTTTATAATAGGGGCAGATGTGGTGGGGAGAGATCCACAAGAGTTTGCTATGATACAATTTACTGACCCATTTTTAGTTAACCAGAGTAACGTCGTGCAAAATAGGACAACACCAACTCCTTATCAGCCTGAGGGAAGAGAGAAGGTAATTGCGGTAGATTATACTAGACTTAAACCCCTAGACATCATTGAACGCACCACCGGTTACACAGGTAGTAACTTTTGGCTTGACTAGCTTATTCAGTCTGCCAAAGAACAAAATGTGGGCGATTGTGTGGCATGTGCATCAGGCAGACCTCAGTTATACACGGAACCTGCCCCCCTGTATCCAGATGATACGTGGGGCTTTGAATGCATGTTAAAACTAACAAGAATACCTACATGAGAAAATTGCACAAACCTAGCTAGCATTTTTCCAGTGATAGATAATAACACTAAACCAGGAGCCTTCACTCCACACAGAAGTGATCGGTATGTGTGTTTTAACTTTACCAGCTCTACCCCTCTTAAAGATTATGGACGAACTGACCCTGAGTAGTGTAATTTAACGTACCAGGTAATAAATGAAAATAAAACTATGCGAGCTGAAAGTTATATTGGAATGTATGTGCGATCAGGTATATATTATTATTGTGGAGGACAGAGAATGTCTGTGTGCATCCCTATCAATGCTATAGGAGTCTGTGCCATGACTAGATTGGCAGTTCCCTTAATGATAATAGGAAGCAAAACCGTTCGTGCAACTCCGACTACCCCAGCAACATTAACAGCACGACGAAGGCGTCATGTCCTGATGAAACGAGAAACTGTGGACCCCTGGGACATGACCACCAATTCCCAAACTTATATAGATGCTATCGGGGTGCCAAGAGGTGTACCTGACCAGTACAAACTAGTTGATCAAATTGCGGCCGGATTTGAGAATATTACCATTTTTTCAGCCATATTTCCCATAACACCTAATAAGAATGTTGATAGGATAAACTACATTCATTACAACGTTCTTCGATTAGCTAACCTGACCAGAGATGTAATAGAAGGTCTCTCTGAGCAACTAGCACAAACATCTCTGATGGCCATCCAGATTCGTATGGCATTGGACATGTTGTTAGCAGAAAAGGGTGGAGTKTGTGCAATGTTTTCCAGTTTTTGTTGTGTGTTCATTCCAAACAACACGTCGCTGGACGGGAAGGTCACTAGGGCCTTACAGGAACTCCGAATCTTGTCCGACACTATGCACGAGCAGTCAGGGATAAACAGTCCATTGGGGGACTGGATGACCTGGACGCTTGGACAGTGGAAAAGTGTGGTCATGTCTGTCAAGGTATCCCTTGGTGTTTTTATTGGTATTGTAGTAACATGTGGTTGTTGTTGCATCCCGTGCATTCGATCTCTCTCTGTTCGACTGATCACAACTGCTATCGAGAAAGGGGAGATTAACAGGGGGACCACGATGCCTCTTTTGACCACAGCAGGGAAGCCCTTAGACTCTGAAGTGGTCCTGGAGGACACATGGTATTGATCTCTGTGTTAGCAGAGATCAAGAGAGGGGATTGTAGAAATGTTGAACAGCTTTAACTATATTTTGTGTTCTGTTAATAATCAGTTCATCATGTGTTCAAAGTTTTCAAAATAAGTAATCTTATATAACTGATCTATGTAATGACCTGTTTTACTGTCACTGTATGTGTCATTCTGGTCAAAAACATGTTTGAAGAACAGGGTCAAAGTCCGGGTTCCTTATCGTTTCAAGGCTGTGCAAATAGGCAGATTTGATGGAACCAATGGCAGAGCAGGAGGGCTACGTGACCGGCTGCAGTTTTTTGATAACGTATGATTCTCAGAAATTACATAAGAAGTGGACTTGATTATAAAAGCTAAGAATTACATGGATGTGATGAGATGCTGCTTTGACGATCGAAGGAAAGTATCGGTCCAGCATTCTCCCAGATTTGCAAATCTGTTCGGTGGGTTTTTACATGTAATCTTTAATAAATTCTGTTAAATTCTTTAAGGTGTCTCCTACTAATCTCTCCAAAATCCCAACGGACCTGGGTAAGAGCGACTCGACTCTTAACACAAACAACCATTGACCCGCTCACTCTCACCTCAGGACAATTTACTCTGAAACTAACATGTATGTTTTTGGCCTGTGGGAGGAAACCAGAGTACCTGGTGAAAACCCATGTGTGAGGCAACAGATCTAACCACTGAACCACCATGCAGCTACTTTGACATTTACTCATTATCAGACTTTGCAAACTCCACACAAAAAAGGCCCAGGCTGGAGGCGAACCTGTGACCTTCTTGCTGTGAAGCGACAGGTCTAACTGCTGCTCCACTGTGCTGCCGGGGGTGGGGGTGTTCAGTTGGTTGTAGTTCTGAAAACACATCTAATATTAAGCAACTCACACTGAGCTACAGCTGCTGAACTGCTTACCATATGCACAGCAGAGTCTTGGTCCAAGATCTGGCCTGACAAAAAAAGACGGCAGGTGGGAGGCCAGGTTCAGGTTTCCTTCTGGATCACAATATTCTGGCAGTGGAAGGTTCTTCATCAAGTCATCGTATCTGTAAAAGAATTCAGGCTTGCATCATCGATGTGAATATCTGTATGAACTTTATATATTTTTAGACGTTTTTGTTGCAACATTTTCCAAGATGAAGACGAGACATGTTCGCACCTTGAAGGCATGAGAGCCATAAACTCCTCTCCAGACGGCCAGTCTTTCAGTTTGTAGACCATAGGTTCTCCATCTTTGGACTTTGGCCGCTCTGAACATGTAACACATCTTTAGTTAGACTGAAGAACTGAAAGTGAGTCAGTGTAAAACTGACTAAAGCTGGACTTACTGTTAATGTCCTCAAATCCATCCCAGAATTCCTTTATCCCAGAGTTAGATGTCACCTGCTCTCTACAGTTGACCAGGTCTCCCTGATGGTCTGCAAACTCTTGGTTAAAAGAATCTGCCTTCCACAGAGTGGAATTTAGGCGTTTATGGATCCCTGACACCAAAACAGGCTAAAAACCAACACAAACAGATTATCTTACAATTCTTTATAAACACTTTTTATGATGGGAACTAATGAGACTGAAAAGTACCTGTCCTTGTTTCCAGTAGTCTCTGAACAGCTTCCAGTTGTTTTGATTCCGGTAATCTTTCAACCACAGTAACTGCCTGTTGTTCAACCAGCTGTGGGGAATGTCTGGATACTGACTGACTGAGTCCTCAGGGACCACCGTGGACAGGGGGGCTGGCCTCTTCCTATCTGATTTGACATCCTCACTAATAGCTGGAGAAGGATTGCTGGTGTTGCTGGGGTTGATGTGATCCTGTCTGACTGACAACTTGGTGGTGATGTTCTGGCGACTGGCGGGAATTTTATTCTCGACCACTGAAGCGATGATGTCATCTAGGATATTTGGCATGGTTCGCCCACTTTTGTCAGTCTGCAGATCAAGAACAAAGGGTCAAACAAAAACTAAAGCATGAACATGATTCAACAATATGCAATGTTTACGACACAAACTCTCGAGACAAACAAAAGGGCTAATCACTCAGACACAGCACAGGTTCAAAGGTCATGTGACTGCATTACAGTGACTATAATTGCAGATCAACTAGAGACCAGAGTTGGCAGTATGGGCGCATTGCTTGTCCGATGTCCATCACTGGTCTGCATAGGAACCAGATTACTGTACATCAAAATGTGGGTATCTAACTTCTCAGAGCTTTTTTTTTACATAATGACCACTAAGCCTGAATAATGTGTCATGTGTACCTGTGAAGCAGTAGAGTAGACAGGAGCAAAGGCGATTCCTGCATCGGTAGAACCCAGCTTGAGCTTCCCTGCTGTAGTGGTCAGTAAATCTCTGAGTGTGGAGCCCTGCTCAGAACTGTTGGTTATCAGTGAGGGGGTTTTACACTGCTGCACAACTTCAAGGCTGTCTTCATCCTTTTCTTCTTTCACAAATTTATCTGGCACTATTGTTTCTTTGTTTTCTGTTTGGGGAAAAAACAGAGGAAAAACTGAAATAACATCAGCAGTAACACACGCTGTGGAATAAATAACTTGAGCTCCAGAAGAAAGGATTGAAATCAAACCTTTTTTTTCCTCTCTTGATTTCTGCTCTGCCAGGTCAGCCAGGAAGTGAAGAGGGGACTGGGACACTGGTGGGGTGGCAGCTATACTTCCGGCATCACTTCCTGGGCTGCTTCCTCCACCACCTCTTCCATTGGTTTCTGCTTTGGCTCCTTCGTGACCAGCGTTCTGCTGGGAGCCCGGCTCAGCTTTCATCAGAGACAGCTTGTTGCTGTGGTTTAGCACATTTTGCAGAACCTAGCAGACACAAACAGCCGGCTATCAAGCTAAAGTGTAAACAAACAGAAATATTGTTCATTTCCATTGACCACACAACCATCTTTTGCTTCTTTCACAGGTTTCTAAGATTCAGTGTGGCAGGCAGGACCTGAGGCCAGCAGCTGGAATCATCGGTACCTGTGAGACTCCGTTGGTGGCTGGTAGTTTAGAAAGCAGACTCTGTTTGCTGGTGCAGGGGCAGTGGGACTTTATGTTGTGTTTGTCTCTCAGGGAATGCATGAAGGTCACCAACTCTGTCAACACTAAAAATAAATCAGAAAGATACAACTCAACTTTAACATGTCAGAAAATTAACATTTGGATCCATATTACTGATTATGATGAGGACAAAGTTGTGATTGAGGCTACTATTTTAATACAAAATAAAATGGACTAGTCATGTATGTTGCACACCTTTTCCTGGGATAATCTGTGTTGGCATGAGATGTTTGTGGTCGTGAGGTTGTCCTTTAACACACTTCAACCATCCGTAAAGCTCTTTATCTAAACAGAGAAAAACAAATCAAACAGTTAAAACAACTACTTTTACAAAAAACTGCCAAGAAAGGAGGTTTGATCATGAAAATTTATTATTAATTATTCCAGTCACTCTATTTCCCACAACTTTTTTTGGTTGTTAAAAATGAGAAAACATACATCGAACCACACGTTGTGTCTTCTTTCTCTGTGTGCCTCTCTTTGCTATTTTCACTCACATCTTTCCAGAATACAGAGTGGACATCTATAGACTCTACACATTTGTTCAGAACTAAATAAAGGATCGTTTTAACTTGTAATTTCTCTTACACAAAACACTTCAGAAATTAAAAATTCATGCATGACCGTTACAGTTTTCTACCACTCACTATTTACAAAACAAACGGTAATCTCTGATGTTCTCTTTCATAGCATTCGTTTCGAGTCTCACTATGGGGAACGCCTCCTGCGTGACCTCATCAGAAGCTTAAATTTCATTATGCCAGCCCTGATTGGCTGGCACATGTGACATCTATGTCAGGAGGGGCCCTGACCCTCCCTCTATAAAAGGGGCTGACATAGCATCAGTCATTATTCAAAAACCTCTTCTCGTTTCTCACAGAAGCCTGCTGACAACTGTACCACTGGGTGCGAAGCTAAACTGTCCAACGACCGGGTGCAACTTCGGTCACAGGGCGCTTGTTCCCAGCCATACGGTTGTCTGCTGGTCTGGGGAAGTAGCAATACTTTATCAACTAGCTAAGTAGGAAGTAGCAATACTTTCAACCCCACAAGCGCAAGTGCAAAGTAGCAATACTTTCCTCAGCTAGCACAGGTGCAAAGTAGCAATACTCCCACTTTTCGGCAAGTAGCAATACTTAAATTAAAAGTAGAAATATTTTTACTGGTGGCCCCACCTTATAAAGCAGCGAGGAAACAGCAATATTTTCTCCCCGCTCTTACCAACTAGCTGCACAAGCTTCCTGAGAGAGAGGTGGAAAACTGCTAACATGGCTACAGTGGCTAACACCGATTTGGTGGATGAAGGAGCTAAACTCTGTCCCTGTGGCAGAAAAATTTCCTCCTGGGACACTCACCACGTGTGTGCGGCCTGCCTGGGCGCAGCCCATGCCCAGGCAGCTTTAGCCTCCACGCAGGAGTGTATCCACAGTGCGTCGTTTCCACGCAAGCTGCTATGCCGCAGGCTAGCCAGTGAAGTCAGCTTGCCTGGTGGAGACCCGGTCATGTGCGGGTCGGCCACACCCCAAGCTGTAACGGAGGTGGAGCCGCTCGCTACACCTTGCCTGAACTGGGCGGACTCAGACCCCCAGCTAATACCCCCGACTTTCCCACTGCTACAGGCTGATGAAATGTGAGACAAGCTCGCTAATTCTCAAACACTCCTGGAGGCAGAGGGGGATGAGGACGGGACACAGTTGGAGGACTCAGAGCTCATGATGTCGGATGAAGACGAGGAGGACCTCACCGTCCTTAGCCGCAACAGGGCTGCAAAGCCTCCCGCGGCGGGGGAAGATGGCAAACCGACGGCGCTTTGCCCCCAGGACATGGATATGCAGGACGTGCAAACGTGCGGCCGCGAGCCTAAACATTCCATGGCCAGCTGTTCAGGCCAAGGTTGTAAAATCTCCGTTTGATGGGAAGAAGCTGCCGAAGGCTTGGAAGACCGGAAAACATGTGCCGACTGTCTTCCCGGAGCTGCTGGAGGAAATTGCGGTGACATGGAGGGACAAGCCCTACACCGAAAAACATCCCATTGCGGGGAGTTCTCTGCTGGATTGTGAGGGGATTGAGGCTTACAGCTTACGTCAGATGCCGTCTGTGGAGCCACTGGTCGCTAGCCACCTCTATCCGAAAACTTCACTGTCATCAACCGCTGCATCCCTCCCATTCAAGACTGACTGTTTTCAGTCCAGCCTCACTGACAAGAGCTATAAGACGGCTGCCCTGTTCGCAAGAGCCCTGACGCCTCCTCCATTTTGACGGCGTACCAGGTGGAGTTGGAAGATGATATGTCCGCTAAACCAGATAACACCCTCTGGGAAGAAATCTGTGTCATAACGGATCACATTCTCCGCCTCCAAAAGCTGGCGATACAAGCCACGGGGAAGGCCATGGGTCTCATGGTTCTTCAGGAGATGACACACTGTCTTGGGCTCACAAACCTGACAACCAGGGAGAAGGAGGAGCTCCTTGACACCCGTTTTCCCCCATGGTCTCTTTGGCGCAGCTGTTACCACCATGCAGAAGAGGTGTGAGGAGAAAAAGAGGGATGATGAGGCGCTGAAACTTTGCCTGCCAAGAAAAGTACAACCTGCCGCCTCCGCTCCGGCGCCACGCCATTCATACGCATCGGCTGCCGCTTGCCCACCTTCGGCTTTCAGGATCCCCAAGGTGCCTAATGCGCAGGCCGTGACACCACGCCCTGGAGGTTCTGAAAAACCAGTGGGCCAGGAAGCAATCCCCTCAGGCACGTCCTCAGTCTGCCAGCCTCCACCCACAGCCTCTATGAGCAGGAGGAAGAAGCGACAGGCCTAACAGCCTCACCTCTCGTGGCAGCGAGCCCAGTTCACTATTTTCACAGGCCACCCCACCACCCCCAGGCCCAGTTCTGAAGCCGGCCCGGGAAGAAATGTTTCACACAGTGTGCCAACCCCAAGCAGTTATGCTTGTTCCGGGGCCAACAGTAAAGAAAAAGTGTTCAAACAGTTGCCACAGAAGCTCTTTTTACATGCACTCTGTAAAAAATGTTCCAACACACGCATCCAGGCGGAAAGCCGAGGGCGCTGTTCAACATTGTAAAAAAATTAAAAACAAAAAATATGTTGAAAAACACACTGCTGTCTACCATAATGCAGCTGGAGGAGACACGTGTCTGCAGCTGTGAAGACAGCGTCACAGACAAACCCCTGCCGCACGTTAGAGGAGGCAACGGGGATGGTTGTGGCATGTTCTGGTGTTTGACCAGAAGGGGGCAGCATTGCCCCAATTTTACCACAGTAGTCAGTCAGCCCCCTCTCATTACACAGAGAGCGCTGGGCAGCCTGCACACAGTCATACTGGGTGTTACGGACAATCGAGCAGGGATACAAGAATCAAGAATAGTTTATTGTCATTTGTACACAACATCAAGATGCAATGTAGAACGAAATTTGCAGTTTAGAACATCTGTCTGGAGAAACACACATGACAGACACGGGGGAATGATGCCCAGGACCTTGCGCAATGTAGTGAGCTACCTTTGCAGTTTAGAATACACACACGCAGAAAGGATGAGTTCAAAAAAGAGCTTTGATCCTATGTTTTATACAGAAAAACACACGAGCATGCGCACAAAAAACTACTCTGCGAAAGAAGCAGCTAAGGAGGGGGGAGGGAGGGGGTGTGGGGGAACCAAACATATGGAAGGGGGAAGGGGAGCAGCGGAGCCAGTGACATCCAAGGAAGCATGCCAGGACCAATCAGAGACCTTCAGAGTCCAACCAGCTGTTATCACTTTCCCCAGCGTGGCCTTCAGACCGGGTCCAGACACTGGTGGGGGTTAAGGTGTGTGTGTGTGTGTGTGTGTGTGTGTGCGTGTGTGTGTGTGTGTGTGTGTGTGGGGGGGGGGGGGGGGTGTCAAGGCTTCCTCCACACATATCATCCAGGGAGGTTTATCAGCCTGCAACCAAGGTCACATCTGTGGGAATCCGATGATAGAAAATAATTCTTTTGGGCAAGCAGCAGACTTTTTCTTCCACTGCTTTTAAGTCTTAACTGTGCTTCTGTGTTGCGAAAAAAAAAAGCCAAAATTCCAGATTTGATTACCATCTCGCCTCTCCCGTACGAACTTCACCCAGATGTTGCCTTACTCCTCACACCGCTGGGCTGCGGTCCTAGCCAGAACCACATCCAGTTTACGATTCAACTCCCCCATCATTTGAGTCTGTGCGTTCACAGTACGGGAGATCCCATCCAGGGACACTGACAGTTTCTCACAGGCCTGGACCGCCATCAGGGTCATTCTCATCCGATAAATCAGAACACCTACACAGCCGATCAGCAGGAATCAGATTATCATAAATCCGAATATAAAAACATCTTCAACGTCCTCAATGGAAAGAGGTGCCAGGCAGATCAGGTTCCACCCCAGCTACCAGTCACTTGCCTGGCAGCTACGGTTCCACTGGGACAACTGCGCTCTCCAAGCTCTAATCTCAGAGTGGAAAAAATGGTGTCAACTGCATTCAGAGACCAGCTGACCAGATCCATATTCTTTTGGTGTCAAATGATAGGTAGAAGAAAGGCTTGATCCAGCAGCAAAGCAGGGAAAAGAGGGAAGGTCGGAAGAGAGAGCAAAAAGTGTCCGACTCCTCTGAAGGCCAAGCAGAAAAAAAAACAGACTCCAGTTCAAAGCCACTCCACTCCATTTCACAAAGATTGTGTCATCCCAGGCAAAAATGGAAAATGTAAATACTCTTCTGGAAGAAATTTACATGCTAAAGAAAAAGGGAGCAATAAGAGTTGTTCCCCCCAGAAACCCACAACGGGTTTTACTCAAGGTATTTCCTTGTCCCAAAGAAAGGTGGACGGGGAATGAGAGCCATTTTGGATCTCCGTGCCTTGAATCATTACCTGAGGAAATTCAAATTCAGGATGCTGGCTCACGTCTCTCTGCTGAGATTGGTGCGAGTGGGCGACTGGTTCACTTCAGTTGACCTGAAGGATGCTTATTTCCACATACCAATTTATCCCCCTCACCGGAAATACCTGCGTTTCGCATTCCAGGGGACAGCATACGAGTTTGTGATTCTGCCCTTTGGGTTATTACTGAGCCCGAGTGTTTGTAAAATGCACAGAGGCTGCAGTGGCTCCACTCAGGGAAAGGGGCTTACGCATGGCCACGTACATAGACGACTGGCTAGTGTCTGCTCAATCACCCCAGGAGGCAACTCACACCACCAACATAGTGGTGCAGCATTTGAGCATATAGGTTTTCAGATAAACCTAGAAAAGAGTGTCCTAACACCCTCTCAACGCATCACTTTCATAGGGCTGAGTCTGGACTCTCTCCAGTTCAAAGCTTTTTTATCCCAAGAAAGGGTAGAGGTCATGCGTTTAAATCTAGCTCGTTTTCGCAGGTGGAACTCAGTTACCCTGAAACAATGCCAGGGACTGTTAGATCTAATGGCTTCCTCGGTAGTGGCAATACCATTTGGTCATCTCTATATGAGGGGAATCCAGTCATGGGTGTCATCCCTGAACCTGGACCCACACCACGATGGCCACCACAGAGTAGTAGTCTCTCCAACCTGCTCCCTAGCTCTTTGTCAGTGGAAGAGCCAAGGCTTTCTGACTCAGGGCACCCCTATGGGCACCATTTCTACCCGCAAAGTGATCACCACAGATGTCTCTCTGGTTGGCTGGGGTGCCACTCACGACAGGAAATCCATAAATGGCAGATGAAGGGCCCACATGCGCTCGACTCACATAAACTGCTTGGAGCTGTTGGCTGTTCATCTAGCTTTGAAACACTTTCTCCCATGGCTCAAAGGGAGCAATGTCCTGGTGAAAACAGACAACTCCACAGTGGTGGCCTACATCAACGGACAAGGGGGGCTGAGGGGGCTAGGAAACTATGTTCACACTGCAAGTCTTAATGCTCAGTTCAGATTTCTTGGTGTGAACGTTCACATTACATTTTAAATGTGACCTGGGGCAACTGTGGCAGAGCGGTTAGGAGAGTTGTCCTGGAACTGCAAGGTCGCCGGTTCGATACCCCGTCCAGCTGTCTCAGTTGTTGTGTCCTTGGGCAAGATACTTTAACCCCTAATGCCTCTGATGTGTGTCCCATCAGTGTATGAATGTGATTGGCACTGATTAGTCTCCACAGATGATTGTACATGTTATCTTTGTAGAGAGCTAACAGAGTGCTGTGTGAATGGATAAATGAGGACACAGATTGTAGTGTGAAGAGCTTTGAGTGTCCTGGTTGGATAGAAAGGCGTTATACAAGTATAGTCTGTTTACCATTTATGGTACCCGGCACTGATGTGACCCACATGCACAGTAAAAGACGTGACATCTCTTTCAGCTGGCTGTTTGTTTACAGAGTTAGCATGGATGCTACTTTTAGCAAGTCAAATCTGAAGTTGTTGTTCAATCAGAACTGATTAAATAATTATCTGACATGCTTGTTTAGTTCAGTGTTTATATCTGAACCTGCCTTTGACCGGGATGCTCCTGTGAAGCTTTTTATTTCTGGAACAAAGCAATGAGCTGGAATCAAAGTACCGACTGAGTAACTTTAGAATCGATATGGTCCGTGACCATGACTGATCGTTACTATCATACCATCTACATGGAAAATGAAAAGTAAAAAGATGAAGCAACTGGACTTGTGTTTTGGAGCTGTAAACACACGGAGCTACAGATTTAAACAGCGTGACTTGAGGTTAGTATCTTGTTGATCATTCAGCCCCTCCTCCTGATGAAAGTCATATGTAATGCGACGTGTGTTCAAACTGCAGTCAATTTGAAAAAGATCATATGTTTCTGAAAAGGCCTGGGTCAGATTTGAAAAACACAAACAAAAACAAAAACAGATTTGTCGTATTCAGACTGTCATAAAAATCTGATTTGGGTTGCATCTGCCTGCAGTGTGAACTTTTGTACCGGTCTGTTGTGGTTCAGAGGGAAGTGAGCTGTAAGGAGAAGCTCTGTTTACGTTTGGTCTACGTTCCTACCCTCACCTATGGTGATGACCTTTGAGCAGCGACAGAAAGAATGAGATCTTGGATACAAGCGATCTAAATGAGTTTTCTCTGCAGGGTAGCTGGCCTTAGGTTCAGAAGTGTAGTTATTTGGGAGAGAGGAGAGCTGGAAGAGGTGGCTGGGGAAAGAGATGTCTGAACCTTTCTGGCCAAGCTGCTGCTCCTGAGACCTAACCCTGGAACAAGAAGAAGACGATGGCTGGATGGGTGGATCTAACACAAACACTGACCTTTGGAGCTCCTCTTCTCCTTGGCTTTGTAACAGTCCAAGCAGACAACAAAGCCACATTTCTGGCAGACCCAGTGGATGTTGAAGAGCGTTGCTTCACATGCGTCACACATCTCCCTGACCCCCCTCACTGCTCGCTTCCATGCCAGCTTGCCTGAAACACACACAATATGGCACAATAATAAAAAACAAACTAAGTTATGGCACTCCCTCTCTCCCTGTCCAGCTCCATAAACCTTGAGTTTACCATATTTACATTTTACTTTGATAAACTACAGGGGTTAGACAATGAAAGTGAAACAGCTGGTTTTAGACCATAACATCCCTTTCAGACAGCTTCCTCTTGTGTCCACAGTTAATCCTGTTGGATGTGGTTGGATCAATTCAGTTCAATTCAATTCAATTCAATTCAATTCAATTCAATTCAGTTCAATTCAATTCAATTCAATTCAATTCAATTCAATTCAATTCAATTCATTGTCATTATACTGAAACAGGGTTGTACAGTGCAATGAAATGCTTTTAAGCTAGATCTCCAGTGCAACAACAAAGGACATAGTGAAGACAAGACGTGCTTAAACATTAGACACAAACATTAAATACACAATCGTGTGTATGAAGTGAACTGGGTGTGGACAACGGACAGTCTATGATAGTTCAGGTTGTGACTGGAGTGGCTGGGGTCACCAGTTTAACAGCACAGAGAAAGAAGCTGTTCTTGAGTCTGGTGGTTCTGGCTCTGATGATCCTGTACCTTCTTCCAGATGGCAGGGGTTGAAACAGGAAGTTGCTGAGGTGGGTGGGGTCAGAGGAGATACTGACAGCTTTCTTCACACATCTCTTGTTGTAGAGGTCCTGCATGGGTGGGAGGGCAGCTGCAGTGATGAACTGAGCAGTCTTCACTACTTTCTGCAGAGCCTTGTGTTCAGCAGCAGTGGCACTACCATACCACACTGTGAGACAGCTGCTCAGAAGACTCTCCACAGTGGACCTGTAGAAGAAGACTCTCCACAGTGGACCTGTAGAAGATACAGAGTAGCTGCTGTGGCAGGTTAGCCCTCTTCAGACGACGGAGGAAGTGGAGGCGCCGTTGGGCTTTCCTGATAATATGGGATGTATTCAGTGACCAGGTGAGATCCTCTGAGATATAAACACAGAGGAACCTGAAGCTGTCCACTCTCTCCACTGATGTCCCCTCAATACTCAGGGGTTTGTGCGCTCTACTCCCTCGCCTGAAGTCCAYAATCAGCTCCTTGGTTGTGCTGGTGTTGAGGGAGAGGTTGTTGGTGGTGCACCACTCTGCCAGGAGCTTCACTTCCTCCCTGTACGCCCCCTCGTCATCATTAGAGATATTGCCAATGACTGTAGTGTCATCATCAAACTTGATGATGGTGTTGGTGCAGTGTTTAGCGAGGCAGTCATGAGTGTACAGGGTGAAGAGCAGGGGTGAGGGCACACAGCCTTGTGGGCAGCCGGTGCTGAGTGTGAGGCTGGAGGAGGTGTGGTCACCCATTCTGRCTGACTGTGGTCTGCCAGTGAGGAAGTCCATAATCCAGCTACAGAGTGAGTTACTGATTCCAAGGGTGTTGAGCTTGGATACCAGTTGGGATGGGATTAAGGTGTTAAATGTGGAGCTAAAATCAACAAACAGCATTCTGACGTATGTGTTGTTCCTTCCAGATGGTTGAGTGCTGTGTGCAATGCCAGGGCGACTGCATCATCTGTAGATCTGTTTGCCCAGTAGGCAAACTGATGTGGATCCAGAGTGCCAGGAAGGCTGTTCTTAATGTGACCCAGAATCAGCCTCTCAAAGCACTTCATCACAACAGGTGTGAGAGCGATGGGACATAGTCATTCAGGCAGGAGATGGTGGTTTTCTTTGAGATAGGGATAATTGTAGTGGCTTTGAAGCAGGCCGGAACAGTGGACTGTGCCAGAGAGGCGTTGTAGATGTCTGTAAAGGGGGCCGCGAGTTGGTTGGCATACGATTTTAAGATTCTGCCTGGGATTCCATCTGGGCCGGCTGCTTTCCGGGCCGGTACTCTCATCAGAGCTCTTCTCGCCTCTTCAGTAGCCAATATGAGGGCTCGTCTGTGGTGGAGGAGGGCAGAGCAGTGGTGGTCAGCTGTGCCTGAGCAGTGTCCTCAAAGCGAGCATAGAAGGTGTTCAGCTCAGCAGGGTGGGAGGAGTCTGTGCACGTGGTGCTGTTGGCTTTACTTTTACAGTCAGTGACAGTTTGGATTCCTTGCCACATACTGTATACGTCTGGGGTCTGAGCTGGAGTTGAAGCAGGCTGCAATTTGTGTGCTGTAGGTGTGTTTAGCAGCTCTAATGCCAACCTTCAGATTGTGTCTGGCAACTTTAAGTTCTTCACTGTTGCCAGATCTAAAGGCAGCATCTGGAGCCTTCAGCAGGCAACAAACTTCACTGTTCATCCACGGCTTTTGGTTTGGGAGTGTGCAAATTTGCTTTGTTTCAGTCACATCATCCACACACTTCTTGATGAACCCAGTGACAGATGATGCATATTCATTTACATCAACAAGCAGGTCACTGGTGGCTGCTGTTTTAAACACATCCCAGTCAGTACACTGAAAGCAGTCCTGCAGAGCTGATTCAGCCCCTTCTGGCCACACACGTACAGTCCTCACACTTGCTTTAACCCACTTTAGCAGCTGTTCGTATGTGGGTTTCATGAGGAGTGAAATGTGGTCACTCTTATCAAATGGAGGCAGAGGGGTGGTGCTGTACGCCTTCTGGATGTTGGTGTAGACGTGATCCAGTGTGTTTTTTCCTCGTGTTGGGTATGATATGTGCTGGTGAAGCCTGGAGCAGACAGTTCTGAGGTCAGTCTGATTGAAATCACCTGCAACAATGAGCGCAGCCTCTGGGTGACTAGACTGTTGTTTGCTAATAGCATTAGCTAGCGTAGCTAGCGCCAACTTAGCGTCACAATGTGGAGGAATATAGACAGCCCATATCTGGATTACGGTGAATTCCCAAGGGAGGTAGAAGGGCCGGCATCTCACCACCATGTATTCCAACCAAGTCAGGAGAGCAGAATCACTCAACAACAGCTGAGTTGGTGCACCACCGATCGTTTACAAACACACACAGTCCTCCACCCTTTGTTTTGAGTGATGCGTCAGTGCGGTCAACGCGGTGCGCTGTTAGCCCCTGTAGCCTGATAGCAGAGTCCGGTTTACAGTTATGGAGCCAAGAGTCCGTGAAAATGAAAACACAGCAGTTCCTTGTTTGGCGATCTGAAATGAGCCTGAGTCTTAGTTCGTCCATTTTATTATCCAGCGATCGGACATTAGCGAGCAGCAGCGTGGGGAGTGGTATCCTAGCTAGCTTCTTCTTGGTGGTATGCTGGCATTAGCCTGGATACTGTGGCTCTTGATACATCACAAAGACTTGCTGTCTTGGTCACAGATGCTCCAGCAAGATGTGCACCAACAACTTGTCCTCGTTTGAACTCTGGTATTTCATCCATAATGTTGTGTGCATTGTAATATTTAGAGTCAAACTGTGCTCTTACCCTGCTAACTGAACCTTCACACTCTGCTCTAACTGGTCCATTGTGCAATTAATGAAGACTGACCACCAGGCTGGTCCAGTTTAGTCATGAAACCTCCCACACTAACACGGCAGGTGTTTGTTTCATTGTCTAACCCCTGTATTTTTCATTAATGTTAACTTCCTTTAAAAAAAAAGCTGGTGACATTTATTGCTGTGAACTGACTTTGTGTTACATAATAAATGGTTAAGAGGAAGAATGATTACACTTAAAGCTGGATCAATAATGTACTTTCCTCCTACACATATGAATGTTTCACACAGTCAAATATTTGGTATGGTAACTCAAAATAAAGCAAAAGTTTGAATCATTTGAGCTAGTAATAATTGAATCTAAGCTCTATGAATTTTATAAGAACTCTTACCATCCTTCTTTATCCAGCTGGCAGCAGTGTTTTCAGTCATAACCATCTGACAGAACTTATCTCCTATGAAAGTGAGAATGTACTTGGCTGTGGTTTGGTCCAGCTGGCTCTCCTCCACAGGACCTGGGACCCACAGGGCCAGGGCCTCATCGTCAAACTGGTCTGGGGAAGAGAAGCCATCCATTCGAATAACTCCATTTTTAGTGTAGTAAAGCCTGATGAAAAAAAGAGGTTATAGTCAACAGAAAAGTTGGGGACTCCTGTGGCATCATGGCAACAGAAAACACAAAAAAACGTGTTTGGATGAAGTTGAAACTAGAAGTACAAAAAACTAAAGGAAAGTAGAGACCAAAAATAGATACATAAAAAATTAAAATAAGATGAAGTCCGATAAAAAGAATCTAGAAAACAAAAATAAATACAATTCAATCTAATTGAAAAATAGTGACCTACAGTCATGATTGGAGTGGTTGTAGCTAACATTGTGCAAGATCTTTGCTTTAAACTTTGGCCACCCTGTTTGAAATATCTAATATTTCTTCTTCTTTGGTCTGTTTCCTCTTCAGGGATCTCCACTGTGGCCATCCTCCTCCACCTCACTGTCCTCACTCCAACTCAGAGGTCGCATTAACCGAATACTTTCCATATTTGACTGATTTTTTACACAATGACGGAAAAATCTGAAGGCCGTCCGTCATTTTGACAGATTGCAGTTAACACCCCTGACCTCTTCAAACCTGGTTTATACTTCAAGTCGCACGTCTTTTCCCCCTGCTGAGTAAAAACATTTTTTATTTAAATAGCACAACTTCCATCTGCTCTCCCGCTGCTATCCCCTGGTTACAGCCGTCTTGTGCATGGCCTCCAGTCAGAATTGTGCTGATGGGATGTTGCGGCTCACAGTGTGTGATAGGTCCACAGTTTGTGGGTGTGTTTGTTCATCAGGAGCACTAGTGTCTAGGCTAGTGGTCCTCAGCTTTGGCTGAGGTCCTGTTCTGGTGGTCCAGCTCCAACTCCTCGGCGCTGCCGAGGAGTTGGAGCTGGACCACCAGAACAGGACTAGAGCAGCTCAATTCCTTCTGCGTGTTATTTTCTTTAAAATTATATTTTTTTGCATGAAGCCGGTTTTAAAAAGAGCTCAAAGAGCAGCTGGTTTGATCCAGGCCCCAAGGATGAACGTGAGCGCAGCTGGTCACGTCTTTTTCCGTCTACCGTTAACAAAAAAATAAATAAAATTTTAAAAACGGCTTTTCTTCACTCAACTTAACACTGATGTTGAGAGGAAAAAACACTATCCAGCCATCGTTATTGTAGTTTATATACTTTATATGAGCTGTGGGAGGGCAGAGGGAGGATTTATGATAAGTTATGGCCCACCGTGTCTTCAGCCTGTTTATACTCTGTCAGGAAAAGATGAGTTGAAATTGCGCAATCATCAACCCGCTGTCTCACGTCTTATTAAAGTATGAAGGCTGAAGTCTGGAAGACTTAATAAACAAGCCAGTTGAGGCGGAAAAAAAATATCTACGAGGTTTCACAAGACGGCTCTGTGGCATCACACTCACACAGACATTTTCAGCTTTACGCACAGAGCAGGCCTACATCACGGAGGTCTTATTTAATCTAAAATAAATAAAAGATTCCCATCTGATCATCATCTCAGATCTAGACACCATACTGAATGCATATCCAGGAGCTGACTGCACATCGAAGACAACAGGAGGCTTTGGAGCAGTCTGAGGCACAGCTGAACCAGTGGCGCAGTGGGAGTGCACGCTGCGGGACTTCCTCCTGCTAAAGCCTCAGCTTTGGGACTTGGAAATAAAGTCTTGCTGACTTCTGATGACTTTGACTGGAGAAATGTTTTCTGATGTTAAAACTTTGCCTGAAATGGTGCTTGTTATTTCAACAGTGTCGAAGCAGAGCGTGGGTTTCTTCTGAACCCCTGGCGCAGATGTGCGTAACGTGAGATTTTTCTTAGAGATATTTTATTATATAAATGAAATCTACTCGTTTTCTGTTTTTAATTAATAATATTTTTAACACGGTGGCAGCGGTGCGTTATGACTGACTGCATCTCTGCCTTTATCTTTTCTCTCGTCCTCCTGCAGGGGAGGCAGAGACAGGAATGAGGCATTACCTAATGTTGCAAACTGCAGCCACTAAATAATGTTTGTAGATATTCATATTATTATTTTTACTTTTCTTTAGGTAAATGAGTCAAAAGGGGGACAGTGTGTGTGCGTCATTGTGCACGTTGGGCCTGGTGTGGGTCAGATGCGCTGTTTTTCAGCACCGTGTGCATTGCGCTCATGTGACCTGTAGTCTGAGGTGCGCTGATGAGATTTTCTCCAATAAAATCCTGCAGGCACAGCATCTGAGGCAGAGCTGTAAAAACAACATGACAATGGCCATATTTTATGAATGTTTAGTCATTATCATTTAAAAAAGGAAGTGACGGGTAAAAATTGATCATGGCAGAGTTTTTTACCATCCATCCATCCATTTTCTGTACACGCTTCTTCCTTTTCAGGGTTGCGTGGGTCACTGGTGCCCATATCCAGCAGTCACAGTGCGAGGGGCGGGGTACACCCTGGACAGGTCGCAAGTCCATCACAGGGCCATTTTTTTACCCTGTCAGTCAAAATGACGGACAGCAAAAAAGTCTAGTGCGACCTCTGTTCCAACTACCTCCATGTCCTCTAACTAGGGATGCACAATAACTTATTTTAAAAACCGATACCGATAACTTTATCCTTCTAACAGCTGATAACCGATGATAATCGATAACATGCCAGGAGATAAGACTAGTCAAAAATGGGTAAGATCATAACATAAATAAACATCAAAACCAAATGACACTGTAAATTATACTATTTGAAATAAACTCTTAGCAAACAAACATTTCTTAATAGTATATCAAACAAAACAATTTCTCAAATAGCCATCTTTTTTAATAAGGCACATTAATTATAAAAAAGACCTTTAACACTGATCTCAGGTCCAAACAAAAGAGAAAAAGTCATTCCACAAGTTTAAAACAGACAAACAAACACTAACACCAGGTCACGAGTTTCTAAATCCATGAAAACGTGAAGAAGTTCTTCTGACCTCCTGTTCTTTTCCATCATCATCCTCAAAGTAAAGATGGTGTCTGTGGAGCTCTAACCTGGCATTAAACCATTCTGCTGCTCACAAAGAGTCACCTCTTGTCTTAGTCTAGCTTCAACATCTCTCTCCCAGATCTTCATCATGTAGTTCATCATTTGAATTCTCCTGTAGTTGCTTCAACTCTGTACATCATCCTTGTTCTGAAAAAACTGTTACCAGCCCACTTCTCCTCCATTCCTCAGGGATTCTTTTAAATTCTACACAATGTCATTTAATAATCAAGTCAAAAGCCTCGCTGCCATCTCTCCAAGACATTTCCATACCTCCACTGGTCATCAGGTGCAACTGCCTTCTAGGAACGTGCGATGTAAAGGATATATGGTAGAAACAATATAAATTTGTCCTATGATAGAGATCTGTAGTCTACCAGCCAACAGTGCAATTGTTTTTGATGATGTAACCAGCTGGAGTCAAAACAGAGGAAGCAGGAAGCAGCGTGGCTGAGAGCGCAAATGAGGAGGGGAAAAAAACAACTTATCTGGACCTGGTTCAGGTGTGTGAAAATGAACGCCTAACTGTTTACATGTTTACGTGACGGCGTGTCCGGTCCGGTCAGTCCGGTCGGACCGACCACACTGCCTGCAGCAGGAGGAGCGCGCGCCGCAGCACATGGTGACGCAGCGAGGCGACAGTCAGTGCAGGTGAAGTAGTGCTCCAGGACTCACAAAAGCTYKCTGAGTCTGGACCTCGTTTCTCCTGCGGTCACAGCGCGACGCCGCACGGCCGAATGCGCGCACACTCCGCGTGCACTCCGCGCGCGGTCCAAAGAGTGACTATAAAACTCAGCCTTTACTGTCTCCTGCAGCGGAGAAGAGCTGTGGGAAAGGTTGACAGTCAGACTGTCTTTAAAAAAAAAACAGGATGATTGTCACCCTGCTGGAGCGCGCACAGATTAAACAGGTGGAGTGCAGAAAAATAATCTGCAAAGTGTGTAGAAAGGAATAAATACAAACAATTTGTTTTACCACCTTAAAACGAAGCTGGTGATACCAAACACAACATCCAATGGATGCAGATATCTGTTACATCAAAGTTAGTGTGTGTGTGTAGAGCTCCCTCAAATTTAGATTTTTATGGGAGACTTTAAAGTGTCCCTTAAAAAAGGAGATTTTAAAGTCCAAATTTTTTTACCTTTACATATTTATTCCACACAATTAATATGTGATTTATTTATTTTCTATTATAAGTTTTATATCATGATATATATCGTTACCGTCACTCATCATAATGTTTATCGTGATATGAATTTTTTGCCATATGGCACATTCCTACTGCCTTCCCCTTCTTCCTCATCATCACTAATCTTTTTCACTTCCTGCTCCACAGTTTCTATAACCGCTACTCTTCTTTACATTTCATTCTCTTTATTTAATATCTCTTCAAAGTACTCCATACTCTCCTCACCTGTTACAACATTATCATTTCTATTTTTAACAAGTTGAACCTGCTGCTCATTTGTTCCAGCCTGATCTCTCTGGCTCACCAGTCGATACAAGTCCTTCCCTCCCTCCTTAGAGTCCAGCCTCTCGTACATCTCATCATACGCTCTCTGCTTTGCCTCTGCTGCCTTCCTTTGTCCTACATTGTATCTCAATATTATTCTGCCTCCTCTCTTCAGTCCTGTCACTGTCCCATTTCTTCTTGCTATTCCTGCACTTCATTATTCCACCACCAGGTTTCCTGATTTGTTTTTGTCCAGATGACACCAAGTAGGCCTACCTTCCTACCTTTGTCTCTAATCACTGCTGCAGTAGTCCAGTCATCTGGAATCTCGTGAACCACTGGGTGGATTTTAAATGAATTAATAAATTAATAACTGGATGCTCTTCTATTGTAGGTCAATTTTAGAATCAACACAATTTAAGACGGTGGCCAAAGCTAGCCAACAGTCAATGCAAAATGTCTGTAATTCAGTAAACTATAGATACACTTGACTGAAATCTGATGTGGTATTAACCGAGTGTTGTCCATAAAAAATACTTTGATAATAGTATCACAGTATTGCATAAGATGGAGCATAAAACATCATTTTCAAGATTTGACAAAAGCAGCTTCAACTCTGTCATTTCTCAACATGAAGTGATCTTAACTGTGGCATGAAAGGCATATGATGCATGAGATAATAATGACTGTAAACAAATACAAACAAGAAGAGAGATGAGTAAATTCTTTACCTCCTGAAATAGTAGAATCTACAGAAGACAGGAGAATGTGCTGGCTCCTCGCTTTTTTTACGGCGAACCACTCGACACTCCCGACATTTCTGCAGAGTGGGTCCAATTTCTGAGCAGGAGTCGTCCTGCAGGAAGGACTCCCCTGTCTGCTTCAGCTTCTTCACTTTCCTCCAGTCCTTCAGAACTGAGCGGGGGATCCCATCTGGATACAATCCACATTACTGAGTTATTATTTGTTACCTTCTGAGCTTCAGAAAGAGCTATCACAACTTTGAATGATTAAACCTTGTCAACACAGAAAAACTTGGAAAAACAAAACGTTATTTTACACATTTTAGATTAAAACTACATATTTATTGAATGTCCATATTTATATGGACATTCAATACATATACAATATATTATTCAATATATTCAATACATATATTACAGTATGCATATTTGTTGAATCTAAATCAGGAGATGATGCTGCTCCCTTTCCCTCCCACTTTTCTGTATCTAGAAGTCAGGTGAAGAGGCAGCTAGAG